ATGCCGTTTGGGTGAGGGGGTGAAGGCATGCCGAGAGAAGTTCCGAGGAATACATCCACTCCTGAGGTCACGAATTTGCAGAACAATGAAACGCGGTGCTCCATCGCAGCAGAGATTTTTTAACCGAAGTTGAGTTGAGAAGTAGAACAACAGCGTCGAATGAATTCCAGGCCAGAAAACAGTGATTGCTTTCAGAAATATAAATGTTTAGATTTAATTTTTTTTTTTCGGAGGAATGTTTAAATTTAATTTAAGTTTGTTTTATTTTAGTGCTTAAAATTTCAAAATATATACTTATCTTTTTAACAAAAAAAAAACAACTATTTTAGGCTTCAAAACTTCTTAATTCATAAACTTTCAAAAACAAAAAAAAAAAACCACTTTAATCTTTTATAGACGTCTAAAATTAAATATTGGGCAACTATCAAATAGACATTTTAAAATTTTCATTCTGAAAGTTGGAATACCAGAATGAGATTTAAAGCACATAGAGCCAGAAAACACAAAGCAAGTTGGAAAAAAAAAAGGACCAAGGTCGGAAGAAATTTATTGACAAAAAATGTAAAAAATAATGGAACTTGTTTTCTAGTATGCAGAGTGTATTTTTCATTCCAATACGAGTATTTGTGATTTAATATATTTTTATTTCTAAAGTATTTTTCTTCTTTTTGAGGGTGTGAAACATTAGAATTGTAAGGTGAAAGATTCCAAATATAGGACAACAACTGAGCACAAGGGTGCATTTTTCATCTTCTAAATCATCATGTTCTATATGAGTGAAAAACAACATTTTTGTTTATACCATGGTTCCTAGTCTCGTGCATACCCTTCTTGACGAAACTCGACTGTGTGATAACAAATACCTACAATTAATTGGTTGGTATTGATCACACAACATCAACGAACTCATAGAAGTAGAAGAGTTTTATGGCGTAGGAAAGGTTGGTTTGAGAGCAGTGCAGTTTTCATGCTTGCAGGCATCCTTTACGAAATTGATAACACACGCTCAATGAGCGAGTGCAGAAGACTGATAGCAGATCCACCCCATGTTGAAAACCAACTCTAATGCCAATTAATACAAGATAGATTAATCAATCCTCCCGAAGTTAGGGAAAAYGGGAAGAGGAAAAAGAGGTGGGTGAGCCTGAGGTGACACAAAAACTGCATTCAGATGGATACGAGGGGAGGCAGTGTAAATCGAAATCCGGCAATCGGCATTATAGTTGTTGTAATAAGTTGAGGAAGAGGAAGAATGATATAGTGATACAAAGGGAACAATAGACGTAGAGTACTAGAAGGGGTGTGAATCGTCAAACTGGAACTGCCTCAACCAATCTGGCAAAGTAAAACTGGGTGGTGATTAGACCCCTCTTCCTTATTTTCCACCCAACTTTCCGCAGTGCGGTCTCTACGTCTACCTCTGAGTGCAGATATGCCCTGGTTGCCTTGGAAGGTCCTGGGAACAACTCCCCCACCCTCTTCAGGAGATCGTAGTAAAATGTTTTTGGCGCAAAGCTCATGATCAAACGCTTCTCAGCCAGCGATGCAAGGTGCGCAATCATCCCGTCTGCCTTGTTCTGGGGGTAGTGTATCAGAACATCCAGACATACCACCGTATCATACTTCCCCTCCAAGCTCTCCAAATCTCTCACTTCAAATTCTGGCATCACGCCTACAAGCTCTTCTTTTGCCTGCACCACTCCCCACTCACCTCAGTTCAAAAACAGCATAAACGTCCTAATTGTAACAATCAATTTAACCAAAGTATTTGCACACCAATCCTTTCCTTATCCTTATTCAAAACAGCATCTTATCCTTGAGCAGTTCAAAAATAGAATTGAGAAATTGAGGAATTGCACCTTGTTTTGGGCTTCCAGGACCATAGCAGCAGAAATGTCGCTGGCGAAGACGATGGCGCCTTCCTTAGCCAGGGGAATGGATAAGCTACCGGTTCCACAGCCAGCATCACACACTGTTACTCCTGCGAGTGGCCCATCGTCCTTCAACATGGCCATCACATTCTCCACGGTCTTGGAGTGCCCCAACCTAATGTCTCGCTGCACCCGGTTCACATCATCCGTCTCTCCGTATATTTTCTTCCACCTCTGAAACCCCGAATTGTTAAAATATTCTCTCACCACATCCTTGTCGACGCCGCCCACCTCTTCGGCCTGGAGACGGCGGCGTCTCTCCGGGTCGGTGAGAGATACGAGGGCAGCCAATGCGGCAACCGAACCTCCACCGATTGCTGCAATTGTGGCCCCGTCGACGAGGGGGAGTTCCGTGGCCACGGCGGACACCGGTGGGGTTCTGGGAAATTTAATGAGCTTGGGAGGGGGTGGACACAGAAACAATCTGGATTTGGAATTTGAAGTAGAATCGGCGTGGAAGCAAAGTGTGGGATATAAAGACGCGGAGTGAGCCATGGTTCCGGGGGAACTGAGTCTGAGGCTATGGCTTCCTCGGCTACGTGTAAATAAATTCTGATCTCTAATCTCGACCGGCGAAGGCCAACCAAATCCACACATCCTTTTGGGATTATCCTCCCCTGATTCTCTTGGGTCCCACACCCACCCTTGCCGCTCACCTCACCGTCAAATTCTACCATTTTTTTAGAGTAAACACTGTGTACGGGTGACGGTCGTAACCGTCAACCTCACAAGGTCGTCAGTTGTCGCCATCGAATGTCTCGGTTTAATTTCTTTTTACTCGAGTCTCATATTTGTTATATTATAAACTTTGTTAAATCTTACTCTTATTTTCTTATACCAGTCCTTAATCATTAATAAGTTTGTACGGTAACTTTAACACAAATTGTCATGTTAAATAAATATCAAATTAATACAGTAACAATAGAAGTTTATTAAACATTGAAAAGTTTAAAAATCTATTAAAAACTTTAAAAATTATAAACAATGTGGCTCACAGGTGAGAACCATGGTATTTTTCATTTTATAAAGCCAATAAAGATGTAAAAGAAGGGTGTTTCCTTTATTTGCTTCACATTTATGTTAACTGTTACAGGTTACCAGGCTTTATAAGGCAAGAGAGCATGCTGAAGTTGAATTCATTGTAAGTAGCACAAACTCACAGGATATTAATATGCATTTTCAACAAACTATTTCTCTCTTATTTTGGAAACATAGCACCAACGTAAATTTGATTTCATATTGGGTCGATGCCAATACCTGTTGATGATGGAATTGGCCAAAGACTAAAGAGGCCACAACTCAGATTTCAAGTACAATTCAAAATAACAGAAAGTTTCATACTGATTCTAATGGTCGTGATTTCGTCCAAAGGATAGGGTGTGATTAAGCATAATATATTGATTTTATGGTGTTTGAGTAGTTCCAATCAACCTTGGATTGCTATGCTGTGAGTGATAGAATCATTTTTGGTTGCGGACTGAATAGGTCGGTTTGTTGTTTTGGCAGGTGCAAGATTATGGAAAAGACTGGAATAACAACAGATTTAGCCTAAATAATTGAGACTTTGTCCATGAAATTATTTATTTGGCTCACATATATAAGGTTTGCATGAATTGGAGAATGGAAAAGTTCTCTTGCGTTTGGCTCACTGACATAGGTGAATGAAACTCTTTATTATCTGCGTTTCTACAAGAATTGATGCGTGTGCTTCAACTGTCTCTTGTGATGTCTAAATACACTATTTATTCTCTTTGGTGTTTCAAATGCAAGGTTGGAGAGGACAAAGATATTTCATTGATGGCTACTGTTGAACTAAGGAAGTTGTTTCCCAAAATAAAGGTAGAACGATTATTCCTTTATCTGTTAAATGGAATGGTATAAAAGTTGAGAGTAGCGAGAAGGAAAACCAACCCACCCAACTGCTTTATCTGCACTGCCTGCGACTTGCTACTTGTACTTCTACTGACGGTACTGGTAGAGTAATTTCTTCAACTTTTAAGCTTGTGATTTTTTTCTCTACTTCGTCCACAATGTTGGACGTCAACATTTGAACTTCAGTATGCTCGAACTCGTATTTATGACTTTACAGAAGTTACTTTAGGATTCATAATTCAAAGTTGAGCCTCCTATTGACACAAAATTCAGCTTTATGCTAAATTCATGGGTTTCAAATGTCTGATAACTTTCTAATAAAATTTATTAGATACAAAATACAAAATTTTCAGCCGATATAAGATTGAAACTTCACAATTTATTAAATACTCTAAAGTCTATTAGGTACAAAAATAAAAGTTCATGGACTTGTTAGCCACAAGTTTCAATTAAACTTGTAATTTAACCTATCAAAATTTACTGTTATAGCTCACTGTTTAATTTTATGGAACTAGACTTAAATCTAGATACTCGTTCGATTTTCAGTAACTCACTTATTAATTTTAACTTTAAGTATTGTAAAAACCTCTACAATTTATTAATTTCAATGAAATACTTTGTAACAAATAAGTTTGATTATTATCTAAAAAAAAAGTTTGATTAATACACACATTGACCATTGAATACCTTATAGAGATTTTAATGGGTGGCGAAATTGGCACTTATATTTTCAAATCTTTTGCACATAAAAATAATTTTACAAATATGACAATTTTTTAATATTTCTCACAACTATTTTGACATTTTTACTTAATACCTTTTTCTCCGTATACATAGATGTACCGTTTTTACATCAATCACTAGTAGAAGTCTATTATTGATGATGTTATCGGTGATACCTCATTTTCATTTTATTCTACTGGTTTGACATATCAATGATAGACCAAATAGTAAACTATCTATTGGATTTTTTTTTCACACATTTGTATCCAAGCTAGACTTGAAATTGTTCTGATATTTGCAATTTTTTCAGCTTGGGCCATATCTGCTATTACTTTGGCTACATTTATGCAATTACCCCAATAATTTATAGACTCACAAATTTCAATAAATTTGTTTTCTCTAAAATCTTATCAATTTCATAACCGAACATGCATTTATAATTTTAACATTAATTTGTAATCTCGTAATTTTGAAATCATATATAATTTTAATTATTCTAAAAATAAATATGAAAGAAAAAAGAGAAAAATGGTTCAAATGGATTTTGACTGATATTTTTTTTCTAAAATTCGGAAGGGTTTATTTATTTATTTTTTTCCGAGCTCTTTGATGTCAGTCTAACAAGCGAAGCATCGATGTTTTTTTTTTTTTTTTTTTTTTTAATGTTCATCGCTTCACAATAAACAAACAATGGTTTCAAGATTTTCGCATGACGAACCCCGGACACCGTGCAATTAGAAGCTTGCAAGAGTACGAGGCCGCGCGCTTAAATGGATTCAGAAATCCTTCATTTTAAAGTTAAATAGAAGATCTCGATAGCCATGGATGGAATTGGCCCTGTACTGGGTTTACTTCGGAGAGTCGGAGACAGATGTTTCACCACGTCATTGTGATGGCCCATCACCGATCCTAATGACGAAGATCATGGAGCTGGAGGAGGAAGATCAACCATTGTTCCTGAATCAAAATCCTACCTCCACACCGTGTCTATGCCTAGGTTTTCACAGCGATCGGTGTTGCTTTATTTGATGAACTCCTTATGATGGTACGTTCTATGTCCCTGTCTCTGTTTTTGTCGGGCATGAACTCGAGATTCTCCAACTTCCTTGCATCGTTTTGGAATTGTGACATATAGTGGTCAGGACGTGTGTGACCGAGTTTGATGCCTGATGTGGAATTAGTTGGTAGGTTTCAAGTTGTTACAGCTGCTGTCCACTTCGTCTGTGCCCTTCCATTGCCTTGACTGCGCGGCTTCTCTTTTGTATAAAATTTTCAACTGTTCTTGTTCTAAAACCTGAAATTAGAAGCGAGTTGTATTTCTATCTTTAATGTGATAAGAAGTTCTGTCCTCATTCTTTTATTATACAAGAGTCACTGGCTTGGGGAATTGTACCGGACTTGCTAAATTAAACTTGTATTGTGTAATCATTTTTAGGGGAACTGCAATGCCTTAGAACAAATTATAGTCCTTTAAGAGAGAATGGAGAGTGAATCGAATCCATTGTCTAGCAAATGGTGGACGTCAAGACAACAAGTTCAATCACAGATGGGTTGGTTTATATGAAGGAGGAACATTCTTCATTCTTCTTAATTACAATGAAATCATTTACCTTTGGGTGTTGGCATAGTGGTAAGAAATTTGAGTGTCAACACTCATGTCCCAAGTTCTAGTCCCATTGTGTTCTAAATTTGAAAATTACAATGAAATCATTTACAATTTTTTATGAACATCTTTAGTTTCAGTACGAGGAGTCAGGATGTCAAGAATGCAAAATGAAAATGCTCCCCAGGTTAAGGAGGAGCGAGGATGCAGAGTTACGAGGAGTGGGAAGAGTTGTACACTGGGGGGGCACCATTTGAATCCAAAGCTTTCTTGCTCTATCAAAATGCATAAAATAAGAACTAGAAGACCTTTACACATGGTAAGGCAACTGTACTATCACTTTCCTAATTTGCTACTTACCTTTTAATTGGTTGGCAGGTTTCTAATGCTGACCATCATATTATATTTTTGATAAATAGGAGAGCTTTTCTATAAAAAAAAATTGTATTGGTATTTTAATGGTAGTCAACGAGAAGATTCCTATGGTAGGTAAGTATTGTTCTGCCTCTACGTTTCTCTCCATGAATCTCTTCAATTGGATAATACTAGAGCATAGCATATGGTCCTTATTCCAATGCCAATTGTTTATCATGTGATCTCTATTATTATTTTTTTTCCTCTAAAGATTGCCTCCACTTGGTTGGTTGCGCTCTGAATTATTTTGTTTTCAGTTCATGTATCTAAAACTGTCTCTCGTGCTACGGAAGTAAGGACACAATAATCTAGAGAGATGGAAATTGTGGAAAGTATATTGTTGGCACGTATCTTAACTCGGGGCTCTTGAACATGAATAAATTTAATCATCTATATTGGATATCTTAACACTTTCACTCATCTGTGGGCTTGGAAAATTTGCACAAGACCAAACAAGTGGAAATGAAAATAAATGGGAAGTAAATGACAATACAAGGTTCGAACACAAGACCTTACACTCTGATGCCATCTTAAATATGAATAAACGACCAACGAACCCAAAAGCTTTACCCTAACCCATAAGCTTAAGCTTTTGGGTTCATTGGTGGTTTAAATAGTGTTTAAGATGGTATAGTGCAGGAGGTCTTGTGTTCAAATGGATGCATTGTTATTTCCTCTCATTTTATTATTTATTTAAGTCTCGTGCAATTTTCCAAGCACACGAGTGAGAGGGAGCATTAGATATCCAATATAAATTATTAAATTTACTCTAACTCATCTGTTTAAGCTTTTGGGTTCATTAGTGGTTTAATAATGTTTAAGAGGGGCCAATATGAAAGTATGATCCCCGAACTGAAAAGTCTTTTTGTTATGCGAAATATTATGCGAAATATTGAAGTCAGAGACTCCCAAGGATATATTGGTTTGCTACTTCTAATTAGGATGGTTCGCGAGATATTGGTCAGATGTTTGATCCTTAGTGATTTTGGTGATACAGATCTCCTGACGAGCAGTATTAATCAGCGGCAGTGTTGATGTGCGCTAACCAATGAGTCAGGAGTTAGAGGTACAGAAAGGTGGATGATGATGGTGTAAATGCAAGTTGGTGGTAAGAAGGCGGGAGTTTATAGCGCTATCAAGGGTCCACAACTCATAAGCGTATCAAGCATGAAACTCTCCTCTGTTATGGATCTTGGTTTTCTCTTTGCCGTGATGCAATGCGGCTGATATTTCGAATTGCCGGCTGTTGAATTAATCTGATTGTTGGTTAGTTGTTAAGTTACAATAATTACCTGGCAGTAGACAGCAAGTAGGAGGTGAAGGTGTGGCTAATAGATGAATGTGCATGCAGGTAGAGCGTTATAGGAGAAATAAAGTTGGCGATGGCGCCGGGAGTGGGAGGGGCGGGTTTAGGAAAGGCAAGCGAGTAGAGTTTGTAGGAATGTGTTTCCCATTTGCATGAGTAAGGGACGAGACTATTCGTATTGTGTCAGAAAGTCCATTGGCCATGCTGAAACTGGGGAGGGCACCATGCTCTGTCTCATGATTATGTTCTGATATTTATGGTTGAAAGAGTGAGTGTGACCCACCAGCTTATATATTGCGGTTCGTTCACAGCACGCACGCCGACGGAGTGGAGCAGAGCAGCATTACCATACATTACCCAACCCAAGTTTTGCTGTAATTAATATTCATACAAGTATGGTGACTGGTGAGATAGATAGACGAATGTGTGGGGGGTGGGATTGGGATATGTTGTGTTTATTATTATTGGGTGAAGTAAGGTGTTATATGTGCGTTGGGGAAGCCGATGAAGAACGAATAATGTAGTAGGTAGATGGAACAGTAGAGGAGGAAATTAATTGTAAGTGCATTGTGTGTGTGTGTGTGTTGTAGATTTCACGATTAAGATGTGTCGTAGCAACTTGAAGATAGTTCAAGGCGTTTTTAGGTTTTTGCTCCCATAAAAATTGTATTATATTAATGTATGGCGACAAGGTGATGGCTGGATGTCGGCAAAACAGGTGTTATTAGAGAGAGGTGAAACGTGATTATAGTAAGGAGCCGGTACTGGGATGGACAATGCAATCATTTCACACGTGGGGTATATCTTTTTACCTTCTCTTCTATATTGTTTCTATAATATAATGGGATGTGAAAAGGATGGTTTAACCTCCAAATTTGATATTTATTATATTTGTGGGGAGTGATGCTTCCGGTTTGTTTTGTTTAGGCTTAGGAGGCGTTCGTATATATTATTATTAACAAAAGCGAGCAGCGGAAGTCTGAAAAACGTGAGATGCATTAGATGGCAGATAGAGCAGGAGCGGCTGGGCAGGGTTTTTTGGTTTGTTTTCATTTGTTATAGAGTAAGCTTGAGGTTGAAAATACCAATACCAAACAGAGTTCAGAGTTGAATTAATTTCAAATATGAACGATGATTCTTTAACGAGTGGGGGTGGAAATGGAATGCGTAATTACGTGATACACCAAAACAAGGTCGTCGTGGTCCAAGCTTTGTCAGTCGCCTTTCTCCATTATTCAACTTTTTTTTTTTCCTCATGGGGGTGGGGGATGATTTAATTTGTAGTCGTGGTTGACTCATTGTTGGAATATATTTTTGTTGGAAAGTAGACAATGGTTGCTTTCCTCAACAAGATAGTGGACCTCCACCCTTGACCTGACCCATTTCACTTTCTTAATTTCCCCTTCTTCTGCTGCCTCACATGTATCTATCTCATTGTTCTTTGCATTTCAATTTTCAACCAACCGCAACCAGTCCCTCCCATGGGGCAGTGCCAAAGCCAATGGTATTCAGATGGAAGCCGCAGCACCAAAATAAGATGGTTGAAATTTAGGGTTCTCTAGGGTTTTGCAAAAAGAAAGAAGAGAGGGAGAGGTGAAGTGGGGAAGGGATTCATGATTCATGTGTTGGTTGGTGTAGCCGGCTGTAGGGTACCAACCAAAGGCAATGGCAGCGTGTTGCCTGCCGGCTGCCCCTACCTCTGCCCATTTTGAAACAGAAAAAGAAAGAATGGGCAACAAAAATAACATTAACAGCGAATCATAACTTTCACAGTTGAGTTGAGTAGCCAGCCTCCAAAAGAAAACTAGGGCTGTCTTTGTAGACACACGCGTCGACGTGTGAGTGGGGAGAACGTGTTGATCGTCTATTGGCTGCTCCTTAAAGAATCTTTATCGTATAAAGTTGTTAAACTGATTTGAATTGTGGATTTCAAGTCCGCGGATTTCGCCTCACCAATCCTGAATCCACCCCACTTGGCCCTCGTGCTGGGGTGGGGACCCAACCCTCCGCTGTCTGCTGGCACTGCTGTGGAGCTTTTATTTAGCCTGAACCTGAAACCTGAAGCCTGAAGCTAAGGCCGGATCAGGACAAGTCAGTGTATATATATATATATATATATTTTTTTTTTTTAAAAGAAAAGAAAAGGACTGGGAGGAGGGTTTGATGTTTGGTTTGGCCATCTAAAATCTAATATAATATTTGAAATTTGAATGATATAGGAATAGGAATATATAATAAAAAAAGAGAGCAAGAGAGAGAGAGGGAGGAGGGTTGTCAGTGGGTTGGGAGTCAAAGGAGAGGGTGTGAGAAATAGAAGTGTCGAGGAGAGAGGAAGCAGAGGGCCGGGCCCACCTAATTGTTATCTTAGTTACTGGGTCGAAGAATTGGAAGTGCAGTAAGGTGTTATATGCATTACCAATTTACTTGTGGGCTGCAGCAATAGCAATTAGAAATTAGGATGCGTAATTGTGTATTGGAGTACAAGAATATATTACATATGTGAGCGACTAGCGAGGGAGGAATGAGTTTGGGGTTTGTTAGTATAAATTAGAATGAAGTGGAAGTGAAACGTATGTAGTATGCTGTATGTATATAGGTTTTGGTAGTCTACTGGTAAAATATTAATGGATGAGTTGGACCCCACCCATGATGTCGACGATGGGGTTATCCTCAGCTTTAGCAGCAGTTCGTACACAGCTTTGTTGTTTCGGCTCGTGATCCTTCCCTTCCTCAAATGCCAAGGCCCCCCCGGCCCCCTTCTCCTTTTACAGCCACACCTCTCTCTTTGTGAATTAATCTTGTATTACCATTACACGGTTGTTGTGTAAAAGGGGCTAAAGAAATTATAATTATAATAAATAATAAAAAAAGGAGTGAAGGGGACAAAGATTCCAACTCTATTTTGTTGCTTTAGCCCATACACGCCACAACTGCTATTACATTACACAACACACCTGGGTCCCACTCTCCAAATCTACACGTGACCCTTCCTCAAATATTTCCCCCCCTCTCTCTGCTGTAAGTTTAAGTGTTGTGCTTGTGACTTGTTTGGGTGGGAGGGAGTTTTACCCTTTCAATTACAATGAGAGTGGTTGGGTTTTGAAATTTAAATTAAAAAAAAAAAGAAAAAGAAAAAGAAAAAGGAGAAAAAAGGGTTTAAGGAAGTAAAGTATGGTTAGGGAAGCGTGGAGTGAAGGAAGGAAGAGGGAAACGTGGTGGTTGAGGAGTGGAGGAAGGTAGTGAGTGACACATGTTAAGCATCCAATCCAAGGCTGCCCGTAGATACCACGACAAACCCATTCCCACGTTTGTATTTCTCACGCCGTTACCCCTTCTCTCAATCACACCCCGACACCTATTAACGGCGTCCGCTCGAATTATTGCCCCTCCCATCCTCTCCCTTCTCCTCTCGCTATCCTTTTCCAATCTTCACCTTCACCCATTCTTCTCCTCATTTTCCCCTCCTCCACCCAATTCACCCCGATGACCTGACCATTCTGCAGCTGCGTCAAAATTACCAAAAGGAAAAAGGATCCCATCCCATCTCACCACTGTTGCAGACAGTTGTAGAAAGGGAGAGAGCAAAGCAACCAAGTCCGAACGAAGGCCAGGCCAGGCGAAGGCGAAGGCAGAGGAGCACCTGAGTTCTGCCACCCCCATCCCAAGCTAGGGTTTCCATTCGATTACTCCTTTCTATGGGGAATCTCAATCTCCCCTCTTTCTCTTTTATCTCGTTCTCAACCTAGGGTTTTCCATCCCACCACCATCTTCCCACTTCTCTTCTCCTCTTTCCCGCTTTTGCATGACACCTACCAATTCCAGTTCCAATTTCCTACCTACCTCCCAGATCTGTCCTCATATTCACTAGAATGGCCTCCTCCGAGGTTTCCATCAACCCCAATTCTGCCAAAGACCCCGATCCACCCATCGCTCTCTCTGCCAGGGGTAATTCTAATTCCTCCCACTTCTAACTTCTTCCTCTTTCTTCTTTTCTCATTCTCCCTCTTCTCTTTTCCTACAGATGCTGAAATCGCCCTCTACACCGAGCTTTGGAATGCTTGTGCTGGTCCTCTCGTTTCTGTCCCTCGCGAGAAAGAGCGCGTCTTCTACTTCCCCCAGGGCCACATCGAACAGGTTTTTCCTACCTTAATCTCTTCTTATAATATCATCATTCTATTTTCCTCCCTTCCTTTCACTCTTATTTATTATTATTATTTATTATTTTAAATTTCTTCTTTATCTAAAGCTCACATTTGCTTGCGTTTCATAATTCTCTTTTCCCAACTCAAAAGTTGCTTTTATGGAAAGCTTCAACCCTATTTTCACCTCAGAATGCTATGTTTTTTTATTTGTTAGCGTGCTTTCTAATCTCGATTTCTATTCAACTTTCCCGATGATCGGTTATTTGTTTGGTTCTTGAATCAGGTGGAAGCATCCACTAATCAAGTGGCGGACCAACAGATGCCTGTTTATAACCTTCCATCCAAGATCCTCTGCCGCGTTATTAATGTTCACTTAAAGGTACCGGTTGTTTAATTCTTAGACATAATTAGCAAACTGCTGTTTTCTTCTCTTTTAACAAACATCTGTGAAGTTGCAGGCACGGAGATTTCTACCAGGTAGTTTTTCTTTGTTATTGATGTGAGAAAACCTATGTCTGTGAATTGCAGGCTGAGCCGGACACTGATGAGGTATTTGCACAAATAACTTTGCTTCCAGAGGCTAATGTAAATTCCCTTCTTTATCTTACAGTTTTAAATGTTTAATTTAGCTTCTTATTTGATCTTTGATCTTGATGAACTGATGTGTTCCTTAAATACAGCAAGATGAGGATGCTGTGGACAAGGAACCCCCTCCTCCTCCCCCACGGAGATTTCATGTGCATTCCTTTTGCAAGACTCTGACTGCTTCTGACACCAGTACTCATGGGGGATTCTCAGTCTTGAGACGCCATGCTGACGAATGTCTTCCACCACTGGTTGGTACATTTGTAGTTTATATAGATTTGGATGAATTGTGATGGTATTTCTTTACTGAATGTCAAAGAGTTCACTTTGCTAGGACATGTCACGACAGCCTCCAACCCAGGAGTTGGTTGCAAAGGATTTGCATGGAAGTGAATGGCGTTTTCGTCATATATTTCGAGGTAAAGAATTATGAAATTGAATCTCTTCATGGCTCCCTCGTCTCCTTGCAGGAACAAACTGAGGCCGTGTGGTACAGTTTGTTTTATTAACGAACTCACATAAGTAATATCTGGCTGTTTGGCACAAGTTAGCTCCTTGTGCTGCCAACCTAGAAATTCTCAAGCTTAATGCCACGTGCATTGATTTAATGATATGAAAACATATTTTAACAATCATCATGTTCGTTTGAATTGTTTGATTCCATTTTTTTTAACATTTAAGCTTGGAATATCAGGACAACCACGAAGGCATTTGCTTCAGAGTGGTTGGAGTGTTTTCGTGAGCTCAAAAAGATTGGTTGCAGGAGATGCTTTTATATTCTTGAGGTTTGATGCTTCTTTGATCTGTCATGGGATATCAATATTCAATTATCATGGATGGCAGAACTTTGCTGAACGTGTCATTTATTTTATTTGTCTATGTTTTGGTCAAAATGGAAATAACGTGTATTTGCTGATAGGGGTGAGAATGGAGAACTGCGTGTTGGTGTTAGGCGAGCCATGAGACAACATGGCAATGTCCCCTCGTCAGTCATATCTAGTCATAGCATGCATCTTGGTGTGCTTGCAACTGCTTGGCATGCCATTTCCACAGGCACGATGTTCACCGTCTATTATAAGCCTAGGTAATGCTTTTGTTATGGTATTTTCCCTATTGTGTATATTTTGTGATTTATCCAAGCAGTTTGTACGATGTATGTTTTGCAATTGGATTTTTTGAACCCAAAGCTTTTTGCTGCACGTGTGTCAGGACAAGCCCTTCTGAATTCATTGTTCCATATGACCAGTATATGGAGTCCATTAAGAAGAGCTACACCATAGGAATGAGGTTCAAAATGAGATTTGAAGGTGAAGAAGCTCCTGAGCAGAGGTATGTGCCCATGTAATTGGTAATTTCCGGTCTTACCAGAAAAATTGGTATTGACTGGAGTTTTACCTTGGAGCTATTGGTCGAAATTGCATTCAACTGTCTAATAGTGTTTCCATTTCTTTCTTTCTTAATGAAGTTTGTGGTAATTCTCTAAGGTAACTCATTGACGATACGATTCTAATTCTTATGTTCTAGATTCACGGGCACTATCATTGGATGTGAAGATGCTGATCCCAAGAGGTGGAAAGATTCCAAGTGGAGATGCCTGAAGGTAGTATGAAGTTCTTAAAAGACGTGTAACCTTATTTTTTGAATGTTAATGCAGCCATTTTTATTTTCTTCTAGGTGAGATGGGATGAGACTTCTACTATTTCACGTCCTGAGAGAGTCTCACCTTGGAAAATTGAGCCTGCTCTTGCTCCTCCTGCACTAAACCCAATTCCAATTACTAGGCCTAAAAGGCCTCGATCAAATATGGTGCCTACATCCCCTGATTCCTCTGTCCTTACACGAGAAGGCTCATCAAGATTGGCTGTAGACCCTTCACCAGCCAGTGCATTTACAAGGGTCTTGCAAGGTCAAGAATTCTCGACCTTGAGAGGCAATTTTGGTGATGGTAATGACCCTGATGCAGCTGAAAAGTCTGTTATGTGGCCTCCTTCGCTTGATGATGAGAAGATTGATGTGGTTTCCACGCCTAATAAACATGGAGCAGACAGCTGGATGCCTCCAGGAAGGAGCGAGACAACCTATGCAGATCTTCTGTCAGGTTTTGGAACTAATCTTGATTCTCCGCATGGTGTCCGAGCTGCCATGGGAGATTCAGCAGTAGTAGCTGCGAGTTCAATCAGAAAGCATGCAATGGATCAAGATGGAAAGTTTAACTTCCTTGGTGGTAGGTCATGGTCTGTCATGTCTTCTGGTGGTCTCTCGCTCAACCTGGTTGACTCTAGTCAGAAGGCTCATATTCAGGGTGGTGACTTACCTTACCAAGTGAGAGGAAATGCTACCTTTAATGGCTTCGGTGATCATACCATGGCCCATTGTCATGGAGTTGAACACTCTCGGGGAAACTGGTTCATGCCTCCACCTTCATCTCATTTTGATTATCCAGTTCATTCAACTGAATTGATGTCGAAGCCCATGTTATTTCAGAACCAAGATGTTCTCAAACCCAAAGATGGTAATTGCAAGCTTTTTGGCATCTCTCTCATTAAGAATCCTGCTATTCAAGCTATTCCAGACCCTGCAGGATTTAATAGAAATATGATGAACGAGGCAGATGTTGTGCATCTTAATACACATCAAATGCATTCAAACGAGTCTGGCCTCAAGTCTGAATTATCTAAGGGTTCAAAGTTGGTGGATAAATCCCTTGCTGTCATTGAGGTCGATAAATCACAGCAAACATGCACACAGAACTTGAAGGATGCGCAGAGCAAATCACAGGGTGGTTCAACGAGGAGTTGTACAAAGGTTGCTCTCTTTACTCCCTTTCTCCCACGTTCTTTTAACTTGTTGATTGGTTTGAAGATGGGCCTGAACTGGCATAAGGTATTGTTGATTCCAGGTCCACAAGCAGGGGATTGCACTTGGAAGGTCAGTAGATCTTAGCAAGTTCAATAATTACGATGAATTGGTTGCTGAATTGGACGAACTGTTTGAATTTGGTGGCGAGTTGCTGGCTCCGAAAAAGAATTGGCTCATCGTATATACGGATGATGAAGGTGATATGATGCTTGTTGGAGACGATCCCTGGCAGTAAGGACTTTTCATGCATGATCATCTATTATCTCTTAATTGTCTTAGTGGAATCAAAATCTTGAATAACTTGTGGATTCTTGGCTTTGTCAGGGAGTTTTGTGGCATGGTTCGGAAGATATTTATCTATACAAGAGAGGAGGTGCAGAAGATGAATCCAGCAGGATCCCTAAATTTAAAACGTGATGAGAATCCATCTGTTGGTGAAGGGGAAGAAGCAAAAGAGATTAAAAGTCAGGCAGTACCTTCAATGTCAGCACCCGAGAGTTCTTAGGTCTTTGCTTTTGTGGGGGTATAGGTGAGACCCGAAGTGTATTATTGATGTTCAAATTATTAGAAACTTTAAACGTTTCTATTATTCCATTGCGTGGGTATTCATTTGAATGCTGACAAATTTGTTGTTTTGTGCCAGGTTTTTGGTGCGGTATGAAAGGAGTTAAGCAGAGTAATGCGACGAGGCCAGAAGGCTGCGGCCTTATGTTATAGGTAGATGATAGAAATGATGTATTGAATTTTGGACACGTGAAGTTAGTATTATGGAGTCCACTCTTATACGTAAAAATATGATGTATATGCCCGCCCATAAGTCTTGGGGGCTTGAGTTTCCAGACCATAATTCCACCTTGTATATAGGCTCTTGTAACTCAAGGAATGTAGTGAATCTAAATTCAATTGGGTGCGTTTACTAGTTGTAGTTGGTGGTGTGTGTATCAGCTGGAATCTGCAATTGGTTGCTCTTGCTTTTGCTTGCTGCCTTTATCGTGATGCCAAGGCCAGAAGAAAAGAACACAACACAACACGCTCGCACCAGACCAGTGGAAAGTTGTCTAAAGAGGAGGGAGGATCGGATGAGATGATGGCACTGTAATAAACCTGAGGTTGGGTAATGGCCACGGCTACTTCGAGAACGAAGGGTCCATGGCATGCAATGGAATAAATTTTTATGAAATCAAAGTATATCCGATGCGTGAAAGTCTAGGATGAGCTGCCCTTTATTTCCCCGCCCCTCATCCCTAGTCGAAAGCAAAGATGTTCCCCGTTGGCTATTAACTTTAACGTACACTTCTTTGGGGAGCTTATTTATGCAATGGCTCGGCCAAGGTACCAATTTTTGTGCGTTTGATCATGATGTCAGCTCGCATCGTTGTCTTTACGGGTGTTGTGGGTTTAGTTTCGAATTTCATTTAATTGTTTAGGTTATAAGTTTGTTCAATAAAATGACTTAAGTTGTTAATCTAATCATTAAATATGTTTAGGTTTGATTGAGTCAAGATATTTAAGTTATTTATTCAATCTTTTATTTTAATCCAACTCAAACTTATTTTTTGAATCATCAATTTCTTTTTTAACTGAGAAAAGAATCATCAAATTTTTTTAACATTCTTATGCAGTTTATTTCATGTGTACCGGTTCTTTTTTTTAAATTTATTGACAGCAAAAAATGTTTAGTATAGACTGTATAGTATAGCTTATTATTATTACTACTACTACTACGGGGTGGTCCCAGATATTAGTTGCGTAGAAGGCCATCGTTCTTGACTTTTATCTTAATGGAAGAAAACGTGTGTCGTACACGTTTTATGCTTGTGCTGGAGTATGGGACGATGATGTTTCCATGGTCTAAATTACAGTCATAATAAAAATACACCTAACTTTAAGGGATTTAAACAGAAGCCCTTTTATTTTTTCTTTCCCCCTCAAGAATTGAAGCAATCCCATCTAGAATTCCGGAAGTGTCTAATTTCTAGGATATTACAGACATGTGCAGTCATTAATTGCACATTTCAAGTTATAATACTCACCCAATTTTATTCTGTAGATTTGAATATCGAAAAAAGAGTATATACCTTAATTGCATACTCAAAATATAAATACATGTGTTTCTACGGAAAAAGTTGGAGTAAAAACAATGAGATCTCCAAAAAAAAACCCCAAAGATAAGATCTTGCAAAAAAAGGAGCTAGCACTCCAAAAGTTTTGTTAGTACATGATATTAATTAATCTTGAGTAAAAAAAATCTAATCTCAAAGTTCATAGAGATCGTTGGTGTAAAGAGTTCAAATTCACAATTATCTCCAACATTTCAGGCGTAAAGTACATGTTAAGGGGAGGAAGTATGGTTGTGCAGTTATCCACTCGAATGTTAAAATCGATTTTGGATATAAACACTCGAGTTCGATAATTTTCACCACGAGAGTCCTCCGAACTCCAACTCTTGCCTTACGAGGTCCGTACACGTGGCTTGTCGATCAAGCTATCAATGATGTGTTCCTCACGTGAAATTCCGCCTTCATCACCATGTGTAAATATATTTTAAAAGAAAAATATAATAATTTAATATTGTAGTTATTAGCATCACAAATTTTCTTGTTTGAAATAATAGTTATAGTGTAGCATCCTAAATGATGGAAATCACATTTGAAAATAAAAATAAATTCTATCTCTAAATAGTTATAAATTTCAAATTCGCACTTCATAATTATGATGTTATATTATTAAAAGAATGGTATTTTTTTAAAGTTCTGGAAAATAGACCCACTCTTAGAAACCCTAATTGATAATCATTTCATTTTTAATTCTTTTGTTTTTAAAAATCAAGTTTTCTTTATCTCGTCTTTTTTTTTCTTTATGAAAGTTTTCTTTATCTTGTCATATAGTTTTTAATTTTTTTTTAAATCTAAGCTAAAAAACCTGTTATCGATTTTGAAATTTTTAGTTAAAAATTCAAATATGCTTTCAAGGGGGGTGAAAAATGTACTAACGGAATAATACAAAAACAAATATGGTTTTTAAAAATAGAAAACAAAAAACGAAATAATTATCAAACAATACCTACGATGAAGTTTTGTAGTAAAATCAACATCTTGAGGCAAGAGAAATATTGAGATCTCTTAAATTAAAGATTTTAAAATCATAAAATAACCGGAAATGAATAAGATATTTTAACAATTTATGTTAAGTACCAACAAATAAGATTTTTTTGGTTGAGTATAAAAATACGTGGGGTGAAATTAAACTCAGCCCAATTGATTAAAGTTTGTATATTTGATCAAAAGATGATATTTTCGGAACCCGGGTTCTTTGAGCAACTGTCACACAGCAAATAAGCGGATTGGTGGTGTATAAATGCTATAATTTTAATTTTGTGGACACCACATTTTTCGAATTATATATCTTCCTTGGAAAGCCGACTTATCAAACGCTTCGTCATCATAAATAATAATAGAGGAGGTTCCTCCTCTCAGTTTCAGTCTCATCTCATCTTCTCCGCCTTCCCTCCCAACGAACAACCTATCAAGTATCAACTATCAAGGTCTCTCTTTCTAATCTTTCATCTTACTTCCGTTTATCTCTCATCTTTACTTCTATTACTTTGTTCTTCACTCCTACCTCACTCTGACTGAATTAGCTTTTCTGAGCTCTCTCTTCTAACCTTCACCTCCATCTCAATTCACTTCTGAGGTTGCGAAAGCGCAAGTTTTTTTTTTTTTTTTTCCTTCTAAATTTTTAGTCGTAGTTGGATTTTCCTGCTGCAGTGTTTGACGTCGACTTCGACAGTGTTGCTATTTTGGCAACTGGATTTCCCCCTGGTTGCCTCCTATTTTCATCCATACAAGGATATGCCCGCCCCTTTACCTTACGACGACAAGATTCAGAAGCCCTAATTGATAAAATTATACTGACTTTTATAATCTTTCAGATTTCGGATTGTGTCCTGACGTTATCTCCATTTCTTTAATATTTGGTTTTTGACAGACTTCCTTTGGTATTACTATCGAGCTTTTATAGATTATTTTCAAGCTAGCAGTACCTCCTTTGAGACTCTCCATTAATATCTTTCTCTTTAAACGCTGACAGATAGTGGAAATCATGGCTAGAGTTCTGGTTCAGTCAACAAATATTCCTGGCTTGGTCGGTGGAAGAAAGAACGGCATATCAAGGGGATCGGGAAATGTTAAACGGGCTGTTAAAATGATGGCTAGTGTACATTCACCTGGTTTGAGAATAAGAAGTTTCTCCGGACTTAGAGGATTTAATGCTTTGGATAACATGTTGAGAACTGGACGAGATTTTCATTCCAAGATGGCCATTACGATCTCTTCTAGGAGAGGAAAGGCTACCAGATGCGTTCCAAGAGCCATGTTTGAGCGATTCACGGAAAAGGCAATTAAAGTGATTATGCTTGCCCAGGAGGAAGCGAGACGTCTTGGTCACAATTTTGTTGGCACGGAGCAGATCCTTTTGGGTCTAATTGGCGAAGGCACTGGTATCGCTGCTAAGGTTCTTAAGTCTATGGGAATTAATCTTAAAGATGCACGCGTGGAGGTGGAGAAGATAATTGGTCGTGGCAGTGGGTTTGTTGCAGTAGAAATTCCATTCACCCCTCGTGCAAAGCGTGTTTTGGAACTTTCTCTTGAGGAAGCTCGCCAACTTGGTAACATCTCTTTCCCCACCTCCCTCCTCGGGGAAAAAAATAAAGAAAGGAAAAGAAAAAGAAAACATAAAATCAATTTGATTTTTCTTTGAATAGTTTCCCGTAGCAATTTTCTTAGTTTTAATGCATACTTCTATTTTGTTTCTTCATTTAACAAGATACTGGGTTCAAGTCTAGAACGCCTAATAAGAGAMACTTTGCATTGTTACTTAGAATGCATTGTTACTCAGAGCAAGTATTGTGGAGAATGCATAGTCTCTCCATGAAGTAGTAGGAGCCTTGTGTGTGTGTGTGTGTGTGTGTGACAACTAAACTAGCATGAAACTTATCTTATTGCATTTTCAGGGCACAATTATATTGGGTCAGAGCACTTGCTTTTGGGACTACTTCGTGAAGGTGAGGGTGTTGCAGCTCGTGTTCTTGAAAATTTAGGTGCTGACCCTAGTAATATTCGCACCCAGGCAAGAATTTTATCCTTTAACACTATATATTTAGTTTATTAGAGATAAACATTTTATTTTTAACGTAATATTTTATAAATCAAGCGAACAGGTTATTCGAATGGTGGGTGAGAGCACAGAGGCTGTTGGTGCTGGTGTTGGAGGAGGGAGCAGTGGGAATAAGATGCCAACCTTGGAAGAGTATGGCACAAACTTAACTAAGCTGGCAGAAGAGGTGCTCTGGGAATATATTTCCTGTGACTCATGTCAAGGAGTTGTTTGTTATCTTGAATACAGGTTCTAACATCAGTTTCTTGCCTCTCCAGGGCAAACTAGATCCTGTTGTTGGAAGGCAGCAGCAAATAGAACGTGTAACCCAAATTTTGGGTAGGCGGACAAAAAATAATCCTTGCCTCATTGGTGAACCTGGTGTTGGGAAAACTGCTATTGCAGAAGGTCTCGCACAAAGGATTGCTAATGGGGATGTTCCTGAAACAATAGAAGGAAAAAAGGTTAGAGTTCTATTTGTATTATTTTTTAATTTTCTAATTTTTCCAATGCCTGGTCTAGATTTCATACCTCCTTCGCTCCTTATGTATTGAAATTGAACTTCTAATTGCTGGTGTCCTCAATACTAAAGCAGTGATTTTTGTGGTTTCCAGCCGTGTGGTTCTCTTGGAAATTTGGGAAGAAAGGAACTTTAGAATGTTTGTGAATAGGGCTAGAGAATGGGTGAGATGTGGGATTTGGTTCAGTCTGTGAGTTTCCATTGGTGTATTCTGGCCTTCTCTCGCATGGTGTATTGTTTAGTAGAAACTTGTTGGAGCATCTCTCAATGAGCTCCTTCAGTTTCCCTTCCTTCTGTACTTCCACCTTTTTAACTGAAAGTATCTTTTTTTTGTCCAAAAAAAGGGAGAAAAACTGAAGAGTTAGAAGAAAAGAGTAAGATCTTTGTTGCATTGTATTTGTTGTAATTATTGTGCATTAAATTTAACTGGGAAAATATGAAGATCGCGCCTATGAAGTATGAACTTTAATTTCTGTTTCCGTAACTTCACTCCTGCATTTTTTTTCCCCTTTGATTATTTCCTGAAAATTTTTGAACATGTGGTATTGGTAACATTTGAAGTGATGGTATACTGTTTTAATCACCCAGTTCCCGGGTTATAAAAGAGTGTGTATATTTTTAGGAATCTAACTTGATTGTAACAAACGGAAGAGATCCTTTGTCTTTAAACACTAATGT